ACGGCAGCTGTGACCTTGACAATTTCAGGTGTGGAGTCTTTCTGCGACAAGATCGTGGCTGGCGAGCTTGATGTGGTCTTGGGGCCCAAGGATGAGAAGAAGTTTCGAGCACAGTGCCAGCTCCTAGGGCTTTTCAACATAAAGGTTCCAGATCTACGAGAAAGCACTTGGGGTTGGGCGCCCCCGACAGTCTTGGCACTGGCCTGTCTGGGAATTGGCGTCATGCTCTTGGTGGCGGTGCGCAGCTCCTATCGCTGGGCCAGTCGCCGAGCCATGATGAGCTCCTATAACAGCATGCTGCCTGCGGACGTGGTGGAGTGAGTCGGTCTCACGAATTCTATCCCAATGAGGAACACCAGTTTTAATTTTTGATTTAGGGATTTGCCATGAAGGCAAACTGAGAGAGGGTGCCCCTGTACAGCGTTACCCGGCAACTGTCGGGTGAATGAACTATCCGTTCACTGAAGCCATTCACCCTGCTGCTGTAACGATCACGCTTCAGGAGCTTGTGTGCTCATTTGTGCAGTCGCTTGAACATGTTGTGCACAGGCTTCAGACTCAGAGTTCCGCCGCATTGGGATTACAGGATATCCTTTTGCCTACTTCTTTTAAGCAGAGACCATGGCCATGGAGTGAGGAAAACAAGTGCGCTGCAGAGGGCACGTTCGTTGCTGAGCTCCTTTGGGAGCCCTTTTTCTCCAGTTGACTGCAGAGTCATTCTTTTCAGTGCGGTGAGGATTCCTTTCGCAAGCGCACTCCGTCTATCCAGCTACCAATACTGGTAGCGGAGCCTGCGGGCTCCAGCTCCTTTGATTTTGAAGTCCAATGTAGCTTGCGCACTCCGAGAAGGACCGACTGGCAACAGAATTGAATCGACAAATCCTGTTCAAATTTGGTCACAAAACTCGATATGCTTCGAATCTTTCTCAGAGTTTTGTCATAACTTGGAACAAATTTGCAGAGTTGAAAACGTGCTAGAAATAATCGAATTTTCAATCATTTAAAACGTGCGCGAAAATTCTCTAGCATGTTCTATTTTTCCAAAACTTGAAAACTCTTCAGATTTCAAATCCAATCTGTGTTGCAGCCATCTTTCGGGCTGGAGGCCCTGAGCAAATTTAGAACCCTGGCCCAAAACAACTGATGCCTGCAACCCGAACCCTGAGAGTTCTAAGTAGCAATTATTTCTTGTTTACAAACGTTGCCAAAATGCAATACGCTCGGGTTCAGAACTGCCTACATGGGGTGCGTAGAAGGAGCCAATGGCTGTGGAAGCTTGATCTTCTGCATGATTCAACAGCCGCCAACAAATGTCGGGATGATTTCTGATGCCCGCAATTTGTGCACAAGAAACGGCTATATCACGACGCGACGACGAACGAGGAAGGCGGCATGATGCATTTTTTCTGGTGCGTGTCCACCAGACCATCATAACAATAAGGCTGGTCCTGGGGCAGATTCGCCACCACGGGTGTGTTGGTTTCTTGCAGGAAGGCAACATGACACTCCTGATGTTGCTACAACCTTGCGAAACCATGGAAAGCGGAGTTGAGGCGACCAGCCCCCGACCATAACCCATTACAGTTCAACGTTGCAAGGCGGTTGATGTTGGGCGCATCGGAGTCGCCTACCTCCCAATGCATTTCCTGTGCGAGGAAGGAGGCCGTGTAGGCCTGACAGGTGACACAAAGCTGCCAAATGCAGCGCGTGTGTTGCGCCTATGGGACGGCGCTCGCGGCGGGGGAGGGGAGGCGGAAGAGGGCATGGGGAGCTTATGGATGCATGCGCGGCATTGCTTGCATGATTTGCATGGCATGGGCAGTTATAACATGAGCAGCATGCCCAACAAGCATGATCAACACAGTCAGCAGGCGCCGGATTTCCACAACTCCTGCACCATTCAGGATGCGGCACCATGCGCCATTCAGGCCTGCGACGCGGCAACGGTTCCCACAAGCTTCTGGCACAGGAATGAGGCACATGCCGGGCATTGGGGGCATGTGTTGATGCAGGGGGAACAACCGGGACATGCGGTGAAGGTTACTGCGAGCCACACCGTTTGTGGCGGAAGGCCGCGGTGGGGGCGGTGGCGGCGGCACAACAACAGGGTCTGGCATGGTGGCACCATGAACTATCAAAAGGGGCAACGGGGGGGCGAACTGGGTTCGACAAACCACCTGAATTTGCAAGATGCTCGTGGATGAATTGCGTTACTTTGGTGAGCATTCAGCTCAGGTGTATCACCTGGGCTTGCAGCTCTTGAGTGGCAGGCGTGTGCGGTGATGCTGTATCACATGGGCCTGGCTGCTCGGCCAACTGCTCGCGAACTGCCGTGGAACGATCAACCTCAGAGCTACAGGAACTATGGGAGTCCGGGTCAGATTGCGAAGCAGCATCAGGAGCTACTGCTTGGCCACGCGGGGATGATAACCCGGTGATGTGCTCGGATGTCCAAGAATCAAACACCGGCAAAACTTGGCGTGTAAGGCATGACACGTCACCGTGAAATGTAAGTCTGCGGTTGGCACCGTGAAATAATATGCCACACCATAGTTGGGGTCGTCGGCCAGATGCGCTAGGTCGGTGATTGATGTGAGCCCAAGCACCCCAGGCGGTTGTTCCTTCTATACGGATTTGCGGCACTCTTATTCCTTCAAAGCGTCCTGGACTAATGAGCCCATTAACCTTGTCAGTAAATGCTTCGACGGTCTCCTCAGTGCGCGGGCTTGGCGCTGCTGCTGCCGCGGAGGCGGCTTGGCGCAACAGGTCCGTGCGCGAAACTCGCACCACTGCTCAAGTTCAGCTGATGGGATGCAGGACGCACCGGGCGATCGGAACAGAAGCATGCGGGGGGGGGCAAAGCAAAAAAAAACTACCGCGTTGCGCATCCTCAGGGGAAACCGGCACGCCCCGCGGATGCGCGCGGGAGCGGCGTGAAGCGTGGGGACCCGCTGACGGCAAGTATATACTCTGGAGGTTCCCTGCGTCTAATGAGGCGAGGCCTTGTCGCACGCCATCGCACGCCGGCTCCTGCGGAAGCGGTGGCCAGAGTGCACCTGCGCCTATGTCGTGGTTGTCTGTCGCCCCGCCTGCCTTGAGAGTGGGGTCCAGGGGAGCATGGCTCCGCGTATTTCTACGACATTTACCCTGCCGGCTTCCTGCAAGGTCCGTTTGCTTGCAGCTGCTTCGAGCCAGGTATGCCCTCCGCACGTGGCTGCCCCCCTGACGCACGATCTACTTCGTAGTGGCACTTGCCGGCCGCATGGTCCGTGGCTTTGTCCGGAGGATGCTGCATGCTGTCCGATTCAGTCCAAATTGCTGCAAAGAGAAAGCTGCGCGCCCGGATACGCGCCACCGCCGCCACCGCCTGCTCGGGGCGAGAGCCTACATGTTGATGCGGCCCAAGCACGACCTTGTGCTTGCCTTCCCTGCCCTGCCTTGCCCTGAATTGCCTTGCGTTGCATCTTGCATCTTGCGAGGCCTGGTTTGCCCAGGCCTGGCCTGGCTGGAGTGGCCTGGCTTGCAGTGTTTTCGTGCCTGCTTGCTTGCTGGTGTGCTGTTTGGCGGCTGATTCGGTAGCTTGCCTGTTTTTGTTACCCTGCTTGCTTGCTTGCTTGCTTGCTTGACTTGCTACCCTTGGTCGGTTGCTTGCTTTGGCCTGCGTGGCCTGAGTTGCTTTTATAAACTCACGAGATTCATGTTTGCACGGAAAGAGCAGGGTCAGTTTGGCAGCTGGCGTTCAAGCAAGTTCGTTCTTAGCTAGTGCCGCTCGTGGTTGCTATGAACCGCGACGGGCTGCGACCGTTGAGGGTGTCAAAGGGCAAGGAGACCCGCCTAGCTCATCACACTTTGGAAGTATCGGAAAATGTTCGTTCGCCAGAATGGAACATGAATGCTGGTCATTTCAGGAGGAGCCCGTCCAGAACCTTGCCAAGCAGCCGCACCCGAGGACGAATTTTAAGCCATTTGTTGGCGTGCTGTGATGGACATGCCAAGAGCATGTCGTGCAAGAAAGCAGGACAGTGTGGCCGTGGCAGGATGATTTGCTGGAACCCCGGATGCTCCTGACGGGCAGAATTTTAGGATTTGATATGATTTCCCAGTTCAGTGCATGGTTCGGTACCGCTCCAATGATGAGTTTTCATCGTATTGTTGTCGGGCGGGTTTTCGGATCGGCACAATCAGATTACATTCGGGACCTCTTGACGCAACTCATGAGCTGAGGTCCCAAGACGGGCCACGCTTTCCTTGCCAACGTGGGTCAAATCGCAAGGTGAAATGGCCCACGCCTTGGCTAACCGCCGTCACCATGGCCATGTTGCAGGAGCTTGAAAACCCACAGCTGCAAGACAACCAAGAAGGCCGTTGTCAAAGGAAGCTGGCCCAGGTCCCTTCCAGCAGCAGACGAGGATGATGTCCAGGCATGGGGGGCTGTTGGGCATTAACCTACGTTGGAGCTCACGAGTGTCAGGCATTTGCTCTTTCCTACTGTTTCTTTGTTTTGCTTTGTGGCGGTATTGCTTTATCGTGCAGAATGAATAACTATTTGGCCACCTGGCCCTGGACCCAGCTCGGAAGTCGGACTGATTCCTACAATCGCATGAGCTGAAATCCAATATCCCGAAATCCAAGATCCTCATGACTCCGATCTCAATCCTCGAGCTAGACATGTATGGTACAGCGCATCAGAAAAAAGCGGCCATTCGGAAGGAGCCCGCGAAGCGCAGAAAGGTCCTGAACGAGGTCTGGCAGCTTCAGGTCTGCGCGGATTTTCATGCGGAGTTGAAACTCGATTGGTAGGTTTCGTTTGAATCAGGGCTGCGGTGAATGTAGAGGGGCTCCTTATTGTGATTATTGGTGAGGGTATATTTCGCTGTTATTTTGCGGCTATGTGCAAAGTAGGCGTAATTCACATGCTGCACAGACAACCGAGGGAGCCCAACAGCAACGACACTGTTAGTGCTATTGCTACTGCTACTGCCACTGCTACTGCAATTGCTGCTGCTACTGCTACTCCTACCGCTGCTGCTGCTGCTGCTACGGCTGCTGCTACTGCTACTGCCACTGCCATTGCCACTGCCACTGCCACTGCCATTGCCACTGCCACTGCCACTGCCATTGCCATTGCCACTGCCACTGCCACTGCTACTGCTACTGCTTCTGCTACTGCTGCTGCTGCTGCTATTGCTGCTGGCCCTGCTGCTCCTGTCTCGGCTGCTGCTTTTAGGAGTGCTGCTGCAACTGCTGCAACTGCTGCAACTGCTGCTGCTGCTGCTGCTGCTCCTGCTGCTGCTGCTGCTGCTGCTGCTGCTGCTGCTGCTTCTGCTACCGCTACTGCCAGCCACCACTGCTGATACTGGTTCTGGTACTGGCAGTGCGACAGCTGCGGCTACTGTAGCTGCTGCTGCTGCTGCTTGGTTTGCTATAGGCTACTGGTACCGCGCTGCTGCTGTGCTACTGCCGCTATTCCCAGTTCGACTCCTGCCAGTATAAGGCTAAAGCAACTTGCTCTTGCTGTTGCGACCGGTACCCGGTACCAAGCACTGCCACTACCGCTACCCCGGCGGCTACTGCTGTTGTTACTGCTACTCCTAGCTGAATTTTGCCTCTGCTCCTGCTGCCACATGTACAATTGTGCGCGTCATTGCTTGGAGAAGTTTCGCCAGTACGAAGTCGTGCACGAGAACATGCCGCAGGATGCGTTGTCGCCGTGCCTTCTTTCTGAGTTGTTTTGCCGGGACATGTGCCAGCCTAAATAATGATCCGGGTGCTCGCCACTGGCAGGCCGTGGCAAGAGGCCGCCCCACATGTGTGTACGCAGTACCCACTTGTTGGCGATATCGAGCAACCCGAAAATAGAGGGCCCTTGGGAAACCGCAGTTAGGGGGGAAGCCGTGCAGAAGCAAGCGACAACGAAAAATCCAGCCCAACCCTAACAAAGGCACGGGCTGCCCAGCTTGAAGCCTTGGTTCCGCAACCCTTGTTGCAACAGCCTGCACCGTCCGTTTGAAATTCACGTACGACTCAAAGGTTTCTTGGGCGCACATTCTTCATGGTGACATGAAGCCTGGCGGGAAATTGTGGTGTCCTGCCAGGAGGTCGCACAGGGAAAGCAACGCTGGGACGAGAAGGAGAGCCAGGGGCAGCGGTCTCCTCATTATTTGGGCTTGTACAGGGTTTTGGCGAACTCTCGCAGTTGCTCGCCTTTCTATGGGAGTTGGGCCCGTCTGGGATGCAGGCAGGCAGTGACGTTTTGGATTCAGGCCGCTTCTTGCTCGGGTTGTGCGCGGGGCTTGGAGCTGGGGACTTGAGCCGTGAAGGTTTTCACCGACCATCCCTTGTGTGGGCCCAAAGTATTTGGCCTTGCGGGTTATCAGCTAACATCTTCAGCCGCCTGCAAGACTTGAAAGACGTCATATCTAGCCACTACTATCCTGAATCTGGCCCACGATTTTCACATTGCATGTGCATGCATGCTTGCCAGGACAAGAGGTTTTTGTTTTGTTTCAAGCTCGCGGATGGCAAGAGCGTGAGCTTTCAGACCACATCCAAAGCTGCCACTTTGATGGAACTGAGCAGTATTTCATGTTTTGAATACAAAGTGTCACGGTTCTTCCAGCATCCCCCTTCCCGCAATGGCAGCCAGTTCCTATGATGTGGTGCGTGCTTGGTTCCCCCCGCTGTGGCATGTGGTGCGTGCTGTGGTTTCCCCTTCACCCACTGTGGGTTGTGGATGGAATGTGCCATGTGCTTGGTTTGCCCCCATTATTGTGAAGGTGATGTTGCTGTGCCGGAGGACCGGGTCACACGGCCTCGGGCGGGATACGACACATCTCGTGACCGTAAATGGGGGAGAGAGGGCAACAGCCAAACCCTGACCGCATATGTAGCAAGAGCAACTGTGCGGAGCAGTGCTAACTTTAGCGAAGTACATGGTTGGAGTGTTGCAGTGTTGATTCTTTTTGTTGCTCCAACTCACAGTCTTGTAGATTTGCCTTCAGACGCGTTGTTGAATTGTTACTGCCCTGCAACTCGTCTCAGTTCGAGACTTAGTCCACCAGCTTCGCAGACGGCCTTTCTGATTTGAGGCTTATAGGGTTGAAATATTTTACAGCGAAGATGTTTCTATGTTCGCGTAACAGGTAAAGCACAAGTCCTACATTCCGGGAGGGTGTCGCCCAACTTCTTCGTGTTTTTGAACATCTTTGAACTGCACGTCTCCGCGAAACCTGTTCAAAGCGAGTGCTTGGAATTCTAATGCTTTGGAGACGACGTTCGTTTTGCCAGCATTTGAAGCAGTTTGATGATCTTGCAGAAAGCTTGGTGAAGAGCCCTGGGGTGAAGGTCCAAGTGCAAATCCCTGGAGTCTGACAGAAATCAGCTCGAGAACTTGAAGGGCCGCAAATCGCAAACCCATAAGGTCCAAGTGCCTCCTGAGACTCCGGCTGGAAACACGTAGGAGACCCTGAAACTTCAAGTCCTGACGTGGTGCCAAACTTCGGGACACAGCGCACAGAAATCAGCCTCGCGATCGGTGCCTCATGACATGCCAATGAATCATGCCCGTGTGTGGAGGCAGGCAGCCGTGAAGCAGCAGAGCGAATTGGCCACCGATGCCACGAAAAGCTTTCTGCTTGCAAGCGGCTCTATTTTTCTTGGGTGTCCAAATGGTTCCACTGCTTAGAAGGTCATGATGCGAAAGGTGGTTTATATACTGAGTCTGGGAGATTTTCCGAGTGTTTAGTGGTGTCAAGGTATTTATCCACTTTCGTAGCTCTAGGACGACTTGCGTGAGTTTTCCAGTTCGAAGGGCATTATGGCGACAAAGGGAGCCCTCGCCCGGCGCTTGAGGGCCTAGTTCGAGTTGTTGAATGTCGAAAACCCAGAGTGCTTGAACATGCAAAGCACTGCGCCTCGAGCCTGAAAGATGCCGAAGCACAGAACTTAACATCTTCATGTCTCATCCTGAAATAACTCGCAACAGCCGCAGGTTTTGCATTTCTCAAGAGCGAAGCTCTCTCCAAGCCCGAACAGACACGAGCCCGATCCTGCAAGCAATTCCATCAGTAAGGTTCAAAACGAGAGCCAGCAAGCAGGAAGCCTGGGCCCAACTGTCGGCTCGGGTGTTTGGAGGGCTGTGGAGTTGTCGGGTGGCGCAGGCCGGATGCGAAAGGGGTTCGATTGTGGCTCATGGCTTTTTTGCCCATGAGTTTCGCGTTGGTTGGCAACGGTTCGTCAAGGGTTTGTGGGTTGTGGGGTTCCGACCCTGTGTAGGGCTTGTTGGGTCACGTCGGTGTACATGCCTTGAAGTTAGGATTTGTATTCGGGGTTGGCTTAAGGATTTGGGCTCAGGGTTTCGTCAGGCATTCAGGGAGGGTTGCGGTGTTTCTCTGTGAGAGAGTAGGAGAAGAGGCCAAGGCAGGGGCAACGGGCAGGGAGCCCGAGGACCCAGAAGAGGTGTGTTGGGTCTTAGTCAGTTTTCGTTGGGTCTTTGTGAATGGGCCGACTGAAGCGCACAGTTTGGATGGGGTTGGAGTTTCGGGTTTACAAATCTGAGAGTTTATAAAGTTCAAAGGTCAGAAAGTGGTTTGGGTCTGGGGTTGGGGTCCATTTTGCAGGTGATGGCACGTGCCGGTCGCATGGGCCAGTCTATGGGATGAATTCTGAGGTCACTTCCTACAGAGACGAGCTGTACCAGGACTCGAGTCAGGGTGTGGGGAACAGGCTTCATCACCGGATTGTTGAGCGAGTTGCATGTGGGAGTGTTGCATGAAACCGCCGCACCCCACATATAAATTACACTGGTGCTGACGAGGAGGAGGCCCGGGCCGCCGCCCGGGTGAAGCTGGAAGCATCCAAAGTCGAATTGAAGGCATTGGGATGCACAACCTTGACTCCTCGTAGCATCCACTTGGATTCTTTTGGTTTCACTCCAAGGGTCTTGAGGGTGCTCGCCTTCTCCCGACTTCTGGGGAACGTGGTTCTCAGCAGGTCCTGCGCTAGGACGATTCCAGGAAGCTTTGAGAGGACCTCCACTGCGAAGGACCATTTTCTTAAGGTCCTAATTCTTTCTCCGATATGCACTTCTGAGATTGCCAGCAACAACACCCAGCAGAACATGCTCCCCGGCAGTTCGCATCTAAACTCCACGTCAGGGCTCCGAACCGAACCGCAAGGCCCCCTCGAGTTCCAGGTTGAACGCGGCCATGAACTCCAGTCATCCGCAGTCCCTTTTCACCGTGAGGACGAAGAGTTTTCGAAGGTTCATGTTGAACCGAAGTCGTCAGCATGCTCGGAGAAGACTTGCTTCAATTTCTATAGATAGAAAGGTTTCAAGAATCAGAGGAGATGGGCTGATTAAGCCGCATCTTGCATTATAGGTAGTCGCATGGCTTTATTGCGGCGAAGCGAAGTTCCAAGCCCAAGTGGGTGGAGGGTTTGACGGAACAAGGTGATGCTCATGCGTGCAGGTTCGTGTTTTATCCCACGCCAGCTTCTGACATGAAAAGGAGGAATGTGGATCACGCGCATTATCTATCCACTTCCAAGATTTTCATGCGTGAAGTCGTGATCGTTCTTGTGCATCAGCTGCAGCTGACTGTGTGAGCATTCTGTTGGTCCACCCATGATCCTATCCACAGCCTCGTTGGCTTTCTCCAGTCCACAGTCTGCACGCCGTGGGGCAGACAGAGGTCCAAAAGTAGCAAGCAGCTGCCACTGGAAGGTGAGCCGCGGCGAGACCGTTTGGAACATCGGTGCCTACTGCTAGAAGCCTTCATTTGTTGCAGGGCTAACTAAGCCTTGCAGTTCACGTTTTCCAAACAGTGGTAGGTAAGTCACATCCGCATCCCAAACTGGGCGAGGCTCAGACCAGGCCTCAGGTCCACCGGAACGAGCCTTAAAGCCTCAAGCACGCAGTCCTTCTGAAGAAGCGTAACTTCGATCTTCTCCACCTGTCCGACCTCATGAAGCTTTACAGTCCTCAGAATGCAACGTACTGCAGCACCCTGTCTTGAGACAAAAAAAAAATATGTCAAGTCTACCGAAGGACTGCAAGGGCTGGGGCGCCCACGTCTTTTGGTGCTTTGTTGCAGCGACGTCGGCAGGCACTCCAACGGTGGCATTCCCTAGGGCATCTATTGTGCTTTCACCGTTAAATTTTATTGCTGTCACCATCGTCGCTGCAGTTGTGTGTAGAAGTAAGGTCTTGCATCTCGTCGCAGCAGTTGTGTGTAGAAGTAAGGTCTTGCATCTGACTGATATCGTCAGCATTGCAAAAGGCTTGTGGGCTTGGGTTCGGACTTGGATGATCTGCATGTCGAAGCTGCTCTCAACGTGCAGGAGCCGAGTTCCTTGAACGATGTGCTGAAAGTTCAGGAAGTAGTTAAACCGCAATCAGAGCTTTGCACTTGGACTTGGGGGATGTTGTGAGTTGGCATCTCGAATTCGTGGTGAGGTTTAGTTCATGTGCCAACGCGGCAATGCCACCCCGTTCTGCCACACAAGGCGCGTGGGAGTGTCTTTCGAGTTTCTGGACGCCGTTCCTCAGATCTAGACCTGAATTCCGGTCACATCTGCGCTGTATGGAAGTTCCGCATCCTCCGAGCCTTCGGCCGGAAACCTTGAGTCCTTCACCTTCACCTTATGTTTACAACCATTGAAAGCCCTAGCCCTAAAGCCAGGTTATCGCGAAGGCATTTCGAGGCGCCAAAAATGTCCTGGGAGAAGGCACCGGTTGGGAGGCTCGTCCGTGCTCTGCGACCTCCTGCGTTTGTAGGGTGCTTCTTGGGATCGAGGTTTCGGGGAGGTGTAGGGTTTGGCTGCCTAGGTTCCCATGGGAACGAATGGGAACGGACGTTAAGGTCAAAAGCCTCTAAAAATTCGGGTTTGGGTTATCAGAGCTGCTTGACGTGACGTATGATGGAGAGTCTTTCTTTCTCCCTCTCTGCACATATTGACACACACACATTTTTTCATGCACACATATACATATATATGTATATGTGTGTGTATGTATGTAT